TTCTGACTTTTCAAACCTTTGGTTTTCTTGTTTTGTATGAGTTGTGGTCCCTTTTGCCATTCAACTTTTTTTCTACACTAGGAAGATTGCACGTTCTTTGCACGTGGCAATTTTAGATAATGATAATTATAGTAATAATATATCCAAAACTTTCTATAAACTTTATGTATTTTTTATTTTTTATATTTTTATATTTTTTATTATTAACCAAATGTAGATTGCAGAATCCAAATATGATTACATAAACAGTTCATCCAAATATGTGATAATCAAATCGAATTGTGAAGTATCATTGAGAGGCCTGCCTACTTGGATAGATTTTTCTTTTTGTAGTGTTTTATCTTTTTGGTGCATCTTTTTTCTTTTGTTCATTTATAAAAAAAATATAAGATTTAAATAGAAAAAAATGAATGGAGTGAAAAATAGTAGTTTAAATTATAATTTAAACCTTACAATTAATTAAATAGGGACTAAATTTAAAAAATGAGTCTTTTAGTCGTTGTTTTAAAAAATGGACCAAATTGAACGGTCAAACCGTTTGGCCTGAGAACCACTCAAGTCATTGGTTCTGTTTTGGCCCTGAACCGCTATTTTACAAAAAACTGTTGAAATGGTCAGAGAATCGCTGACCCAAATGGTTTAACTATTAAAATGTTCACTCGGATAACGACTTTCATGTTGCTTTCAAACTAATTCCAAATTTTTTATTTATTTTAAAATATAAATTAGACAATAAAAAAAAGAAACTTTCGTATCTCATAATTTGTTCAATTATTCCTAATGGCTAAAATTAGTTAAGGGATAGTTTTTTATTTTGATTTTGAGTTTTCTCATTTATGTGATTCTTTTTAAGTCGTAACAAAAAAAAATAGCAATTCCAATGAAGAAATCGAAAAACCGATGCAAGAGATGAGAGATTAAACACTAATCTTGTATTAGAAATCTGTGATACACCAGTAAAGGAAACGATCTGGGATTTGAGAGAGATTTAGAGAGATGTAAGAAGAGGGAAAATAGTGTTGTAGCAATAGTGATGACAAACGTGGAGATAGCCGTCGATGGCGATTCCTTATTGTTCTTTTTCTTCTTATTCTCAGGGAAAACGATATAACGATCAGGGAACATGGTGACAAGCGCCTCCAGTAGTGCTTCCTTCTTCTTCCTCTTCTTCTTCTTCTTCTTCTTCTTCTTCTTCTTCTCATTCTTTTTTCTCGTTTCTTAACTTTAACCAGCCACTTCCTTCTCAAAGTCTCACACTCCCCTCTCATAATAATGTAAATATACGGTAGACTTTAACCTAATACTAGTATAACGGTACATTATATTTTACATCTTACTAGTTTGGTCTGCTCAAAATGGATGGTTGAACCGTTGACCCAAAAACCGAAAGCCAAAGTGGTTCCATTTCCAGGTCGGTTTTTAAAACATCGATTTTACTCAAAAGAAAGTTCTACAAACTTTATTTTTAATAGTAGTGTAAATGTAGAATTATATATGTGTTCATTTTTTCTATATTTTTTTTTGTATTTTATGTGTAAAAATAATTCTGATACGTCACACTTACTTTTTGTTTATTATGATAAATACATGATATTAGACATGTGCCTAAATGTTTTTTTTTTGCAAAATTTATGCAATTTTTTTTTTCATTTTTGTATTTTTGTATTTTATTAAATTTTATTATTTATTTATGACATTAAAGGTTAACACATTTAACCCAAAGTTAAGCTATTTATTATTAATTTTTGTATTTCATTTTTGGTATGTTCTAAATTATGTATTTCATTTTTATTATCAATAAAAATAATTCTTATTTATTACACTTATTTTATATTTGATTAAGAAAAATATCATAAACATGTCTATTTTTTCTACCTTTTTTGTAATTTTCCATGTTTATTTCTATTTTAAAAATTTTATTAGATAAATATGATTTCATAGGTTGATTAGTTTGATTCAAATGGTTGAATTGCTTAGTTACCACTTGTATTAAGAATGGTTTTGTTATTAAGTCAATTTTAAATATATAGGTTTACATTGTTAAAAATATTGACATAGATCTAATCAGTAGCATTTGTTAATGAAAAATAACTTAAAAATATAGGATTTAATAGGATAAAATGGAATTTAATACATTAAGTCAAGACTTAACGAGAGGGGATTAAATGAGGTGGAAAGTAATAATTTAAGTTACATTTCCAACTCTTTCAATTAGAGATGGATTAAATACACAAATATGGCCATTTTAATAGCCATTAAAGCTATAATAAAATAACTTTTATACTCTTTTTCAAACAAAGAAGTAAGGCTCCGTTTGGTTTGTGGGATGGGGATTAGGAAAAGGGAATATTCCCCTTTCTCATATTTGTTTTGAGGGAAAGAGTGGGATGAGGTGAGAAAAAGGTGGGATGCCAGATCCCAAAATCAAGGATTCGAGGCAAAACCATGCGACCCCGGTGGAAAAACTTGAGAAAATTGGAGATCGTCTTCATCCTCATCGTTGCTACTGGTAATCGCCACCATCGCCATCACCGTTGATGACGAAACAGATCTGTCGCTGCTGGTAACACCGTTGATGACGATGGTATGCATTCACCGGCGATGAGGGCAGATTGAACCTCTGAGATCTCTATTTCGTCTTCATCCTCCCTCTGTGGATTGAACCTTCGAGACCTCTGTATTGTCTTGGATAATTTTCCTTCTATTTTGCCATGTAAAACCAAACACTAGAAAGTTAAATTTTTACACTTTCCCATCCCACCCAAATCTTCCCACAAACCAAACGGAGTCTTAGGGTAATTTTAGTCCAAAAAAATTTCACACTGCATTCGCACTATTATATAATATAGATATAGATTACATAATTACTATCGTGCATTGCCAAGATGTTACTAGCATTTTGAAGTTTTTTGAAGTTTCGTTTTCTTATTCTACTTAATTTATTTCATCATCATCATCATTTTTTCCGTGATGCTTTTCTCCCTATGACAACCTTTTTTTTGTTGTTTGTCGGTGCCTTTCTAGTTTCTTTTTTAGTCAGTTTGGTTTGGCCTGAGCTCCCACTTATATATTTTTTTCATGGTTTTCTTTTTTTTTACCTAAATATGTTAATATTTTTGGTTATGCTTATGGATTTGACCAATTTTGATTTTTCTAAATAAGCAATCTAGATGGGCTAACCGCCTCAAGGGTTCTAATGGAATATGTTGGTTGCACTTTGGAAGGAAGGTTAATGGGTGTTCCTGGTTAATGTGATTTCGGTTGGATCATCAAAGCCTAGCCCAATAAGGGCTCCATTGGATAAATGACCCATTAAGGCTTCTGCATATCCCTGGTACCTTAGGTTCCGATTGGCTTGGCTCGACTCATGTGATGAGCCCATACTTTGCCCCGAAACTGTTATTTGCGTTTTGATTTGGATACCCATTACTGCTCCATGTAAATTTATATTCAGTTTTATCAACCTACAAAGTCCTGTCTAGGTATTATTGCCCCGTTTAATTGACCCAATTAAAAGGTGAACATAAATGGATTATTCTAGTTTAGGGTGCTTTATTTCAGTTAGCATTTACGCATTGGTTTTGAGTAATTCTTTGGTAATCCATAAGAAAAATAACAAGTGGTTCATTTTCGAGTTCACTTGATAATAATGTCATGTTTGAAATGATGTTTTACTTCATTTTCTAGTTCATTTGATTTGATTCTACTTCATTATCTAGTTCATTTGATAACAATGTCAGGTCTCAACCAATGTTGACCTGCTGATGCTTGTGGATCATAACCTACCGCCTAACCCAACTACCCAATTGTATGAATAGGAAAAACAAAAGAAGGAAAACCCTAGAATTAAGAAATAAAAAATATTATAGATAGAGCAAAAAAATACTATTTTTCAGTTTATTGAAAATGGACATAATTTTGGGGTTTTCTCAATTAGATTAATCAAGCTTTAGCCTTTATGTGATTTTGTGCTTGAAACCCTAAGTCCTTAAGTAGGGATGGGAATTTCCGTATAAAACAGGGGCCCTACCCCACCCAAATGGGGTGGGTTTTCCTTGATCTTAAACGGGGGCAGGGGTGGGGATGTGGTTTGCATATAATTCCCCGAACCCACTTCGAACCCGATGACAAACTAGTAAAATATTTATGGATTTAGTATTAATTTATAAAATACTTTTAAATTATCCATAAAGTTTTTAAACCCTAGGATGAGTTCGGTTTTGGTTAGGGCAAAGCCCATTTGAGAATATCCCTACTTATGTGTTTTATTTCATGGGGAGATATTTCCAATGCAAGGATGCAAAAGGCAATTGGAACGGTGTGGGCATAAGCCAATCTCCCTTAAGATGCCATAATTTAATTTTTATTATACTCCTACATTATCATAATCCAATTCCTAAAATACTCTAAATCCCTAATTTTAGATAATTGAATTGGAACGGAAAAATTCGAAATTCGGGTTTGACTATAATATGAAAAAGATATAATATCTAAAAAACTTCTGACCAGTCAACTGGAATCATAAATGTAATAACCAATCAGATGTTATTTATCAAAATTCATGGCTGGATTTTGATCGATCAAAACTCTTCCCGTACCATATATTTTCCGCATAATAGATTTTTCCGCGAAATTCCCGGATTTCCATGAAAAATGAATGCTCCACCCTGAACCCGCCCTGCCATAAGGCCTTCAAGCACCACCCTAGACACATCTCCACCGAGTTGGGTTTTGATCAGTGCAAAGTCAGTTCAAACAGCTTTTAGAGCTTGGGAATATCTCTCCATTGCAGGGCAGAGAGCCAGAGACTATTCGAACGGTGTCACGTGTCAGGATGGGCTTGCACGGATCGAAGCCGAACTCATCTCCACCATTTAAAAAACATCTTACCTTAACATGAATTTCGGTTTGATCATTATCCTACTGAAATTACTGAAAGACACTATTAATTATTGAAATGACAAAAATACCCTAAACCCTACCACAGTATCATTATGAGTGGAGAGGGGAAACCGTTCATGGTCTTCCCCACTCCCCGCCCGGTTCGACACCACTGAAGCAGAGCGGCTGCCGAACTCTTAGCCCACCACCACTTCTCTTTCTCTCTCTCTCTCTCCCCTCCTTTTGAACGAGCAGCGGCACAACCATCTTCACCTGTTCATCTTGCTCTCCTCTGTTTTCCTGCAACCCGAGTAGACCCAAGCTTCCACAGCACCCGCCGTTGACAGAAACTCTCCCGATCGTATCCTTCAGTCCGGTTAGCCGTCGAGCATCACCATCACCTTTGGGGGAAGCTTCCGCCCTCGAGAGTCTCAGACACCAGAGACGTCGGCTAACCCCTGTTGAGCAATAGAAACCAGACACTTGCGTCATCCCACCGGACCTCGCCAAACGTCACCGGACACCCTTGTTTTGTTGCTCGAACATTGCTGTCTGATCCCATTCACTATGAAGAAGAAACCATCGGTTCTCCTTCACCATTGATAACTCCACCAAATTGAGCTGCCATCAACGAACTGCATTAGTCGTCCCGCCTTTTCATTGCAGCATCGGATTACCGATTGAAGGCAACACTGTGGTATGAAACCCCTCTCCCCAATCACCCATGCTTTGATAGATTTACCTTCCAGTGGTCTCTTTATGTTACATTCTTATTTCCTTACCATTTTTTCCTATTTTCTGCTTTCACGTTGATGTATTTACTTGACTGTTGCCATTTCAAATTCATTTATGAAGCCTAGGGGTTGCAGATGATTATGCATTTTTTTTTTTAATTCCATGTTCTATTTTAGTAATTAAGTAAGGGATTCCTTGGTCAAACCGATTGGGGTGCTGGCTCGTGGATCCCTACGTACTAGCACTTGCAGAGTATATTCTGCTCTGACCTTTCTTATTGTGTAGAAATATTAAACTGAAGGTGGTGGTTGTTCCATGGCGTATTTTCAAGGACGGGATTTCTTGTTCTGCGACTTGTGCGGAACGCTTCTCTCATTGAATTCCCGCAAGTATGCAGAGTGCCCATTATGTGGATTCAAGAGGAGCGGGAAAGGTAAATTCATTTGCTCTTTTCGTTTTTTTTTCAGCCATGTTTCTATCTATAGCGGTGTGTGCTCATATTTCATGTATCTTGCCGTGCCTATCAACCAGATTGATTGCGTGAACTTGTTTCCAAAAGAATATATATATATATATATATACTATAAGAACCAGTTATGTGTTACCAACATTATAGTTTACTTTATTAGTATTTCATTGGTAAATCCCAGTTTCTGTTGCAAGTATTGCAAATGAAGAGGAAGGGAATGAGGGATTAGAAACTTTCATTGTCAGCTTTTACCCTTCTAGGAGCTTGGCGAATGCAATTTGGAAAATAGCTCTGAGTCAGCAGGTTATATTTTGGAGTTTGGAGTAGTCGAGTGTATGTAGTACTCTAGTACTACAAACTTCTAGATTTTAAGTCAACCAAATGTTTGTAGGTAGTATGATTATTGGTCTAGGTAATAAATTTTGTCAATAATAAAAGCAAAAAGTTCATTAAGAATGATGCAAGAAGTTGAAAGGCCATTTTGCAAAATTTATGAAAGGACCATAAACATCAATTTAGGCTGACAAAAAAACTAAGGTGAAAGATTGAAAGTTAATTATTAGCTTGACATTCCCATTTCTTTGATACGTAGCTTTTTTTTTATTGGAAACAGCAACTTTCATTAATTATTTAAGAAACTTAGTACAAATTGTCACCTTCAAAAACAAGGTGAACCCTCATCAAATTACAAACAGGCCCAAAAAGGTTCTGCCTACTAACTCCTTGCTTTGCTAAAGTATTAGCCACTGCATTGGCTGGTCTCCTAGTCCATTTAAACCTGACTTCAAGCTCCCTTGTTAGTTGCATAATCTCCCTTATAGGTTGTTTAAGGGACCAGTCACCTAAGCTGTTTGTTTGCATCCAACCTATTATCAGATTCGAATCTCCCTCCACTTCCAACTGCTGAAAACCCAACTGTTTAGCCAGCTTGAGCCCCTGTAGGAGTGCCGGAACTTCTGCTCTAAGAGAGTCCCCCAATCCTATCGGGCCAGAATAAAGGGCTAGGACTTTTCCTTCCCCACCTCTAAAGACACCCCCAATTCTAGAAGGGCCTGGATTACCTACAAAACTGCCATCAAAGTTTAGCTTAACAGCCTCAGATAACGGGGGCGACCAGTCCTCTTGGATAGATAAAGAGGGGCAGGAAGAAGCTGCTATTGTGCTCCACCCTCTAATTAAGTCATCTACAGAGAAGTTCTTGAACAGGTCCAGTGATTTCAGCCAATGTATAACCTTGATAGTGATCCCTTCTATGACTTCATGTGCTGATTTTTCTTTCCCTTGAAAGATTCTATTATTTCTCTATCCCCACACTGCCCAAACAATTGTTGCCCTCGTTACTCTCCACATTACCCTTCCTCTTTTCTTTGACTGACGGAAAAAAGCTAGATTAAAAAAGATTCACCACACTTGTAGGAGGAACCAATGATTTAAAAGGCATGCCTCAGGCGCACCTAGGTGCATTTTAGGGTAGGCGCCTTGCGCCTCAGCCCAAGTATGCGCCTTTTTAAAATTCTGCGCTTTTTGCTTTTTTTCACCCTAACAGTTGGGCCGGGGGTTCCACCCCTAGACCCCCCATGCCACCCCGCTCGAGGCAAGCCCAAATAAGTCCATGTTAAGGTCTTAAATTCTTAGTTCCCACACAAAAAAAATAATGATTTATAATTTTAATTGCTTTTTAAGAAAACGTTTTAGTAGGATGAATGAATGAACAACATTACCACATAGAGGGGGGGGGGGTTCTCGGAGCAACATTATAAATCGTTATTTTTTATGTGAGAACTAAGAATTTAAGACCCTAACATGGACTTGTTTGGGCTGGTCTCGAGGGGCGTGGCACAAAGGCGGCTTGTAGAATCAGGAAGGTAATATGTTTTACATCAAATTAGCTACTTCAAGTAATGCAATTGAGGAAAGAAAAAGAGATTGTGGGTTTTACATGCTTGAAAATGTTTTATATGTTTGATTTTATTTTTAAATTCACATTTGAATATTCTTTACATGTTATGTTTATGTATTTTAATTTTAGATAATAAGTTTTTTAAAACATTTATTTTTAAAATTTAAAGTTTATATTTTTATTAATATTATGCTCATTTTTTTGCATTTTTTTTATTTTCTGACATTTTTTTTTTAATTTTAGCATTTTTTTTTTAATTTTTGTGCCTCAGTTGCAAATTGACCCCTGCGCCTTTTTTGTGCCTTGCGCTTTTAAAACACTGATGTGTAATAATTTTTATATTATCCATTGTTTAATGTTTCCATCTCTCTCTCTCTGCATATAATTTAATGTGACACTAAACTAGTTATCTAAGAGGATTGTTGTATTGATTTGTTTTCTAATTATAACCATCTTTTGATACTTCTGCTTTTATCTGCCTGCCTGCTTTAAAAGTCTATATGGTTGTCTTTTTTGGAAATTAGGATTGTAATTTCAGTAATTTCATTTTTTCTTCTGTCATTTAACCTCCCTCCCGTCTCTGTGGACAAAATTGTAGAGGCAAATTGTCTAAGCTATATTGGAAGCAAGGTGACAGTTATTGTCTTTTTCTTTTTCGATAGACAGATGACAGTCATTGTCTGTCTGTCTGTTTGTGGTCAAAATTGTAAGAGGCATATGGTTCTACCTAAGCTATGCTGGATCCATATGACATGACTCCCCTTGTTTTGGATCCTATTTGTACTGATAATAGCTTTCATTTTTCAGAGATGGCTGGAAAAGAAACATGCTACACAGTAACTGCTGAGGTACGCTTTCAATTTGCATTCTGATGCACATCTCCTTTTCTTGCTTGCACCTCTTGTTAACCATGAACAACTTGAATACTTTATGAAAAGTTGGAATTATGCATTATAGAACTGTATCCTGTAAGTGTTAATTAGAACTTAAATCTGCATTTAGACTTAAAGTTAAAATTTAGGTTTTATTTTAGGCAATTCTCTTTCCACAACAATTTTATTTCATATCTACATTATATCATGGTTATATCCATTGTTTAGAGAATCGGACTTCATAGAACCGGAAAAGGGAGAGGTTCATGGGTCAGAGGTTCAACCAGGGTCAAATGGTGATGATGTGGCATATATGTATTATGGGTCATATAAATGCTACATAATATATTTTACGAATTTTATCATACTTAAATATGGTGGATGGATGACAAATTGTAAAATTCCTTAATTTTTAAAGAAATGACTAGGCTTCAAGCCTTTTAATTCACATCTTCTTTAAAATACTTGTGTAATAAAGTACTATATACAATAAAGAATCATTAACTAACACAAATAAAGAAATGAATTAATGATGATTAAGCAATACATGTAAATAAAAGGTCATGGGTTCAAGTCCTGTCACAAGCATTTTGAAATTACAATTATTTAGTGACCTGGGTGGCTTCATGAAACCGGGACCCGTTCATTGGTTTTCAGGTTAAACTGGCCAGTCAGCTGGTTTTGACTGGTTTTTTAAGAATTCCAGTTCTTGGGGTGTGACCAAACCGGCCAGGGTCTTGGGTCACAGTTCGACTGGTCTGACCGGCCGGTCTAGTCTGATTTCCTAAACAATGGCTATATCATATTATCATATGAAAATCAAAGCAAAATGCAGTAAATGGGAAATGGATTATGGAATATGAGAAAAAAAAATAATACTGAAGAACAAAGAAGGGGTTAGGTAGTGCCTGCCTACCTAGTAAGTCTTCTAACCATTGTATATGCTATTCTTTTTTCTTCATTGATAACATATTACTCTTTCCTGACAAACTATAAAGTTTCCAATGTTACCAATGAAAAAAGTCTAGAGGCTATGGTTTGGTTTAATGTTACCAATTGGGCTAACAAACATGAAAACATGGCTTTGAGGCTAAGAGAGGTCATTTTGTGCAAGAAAATGCCAAATGTTAGGTCTGTAACCAGTCCACCCTTCTGAGGGTCCTAGATAGCTAGGACCAACATTGGGTAATGACCTTTTTGTCTATGCAGCAATACTGTCATCTATTATATATCACATTTATCCAAAAGAAAGAAGCCAAAATGTGACTCATACCAAGGACATGATCATCTAGGAGATTAACATAGAAACAGATTTTATCAATGATCTATATATATTTTTTGTAATAATAGGAAAACCCGTTAATTTCCTTATATATTTTAATAAAATTACTGTTATTGATAAAAAAAGAAAGAAGATAAAATATTGTATAAAAAAATTCCTGAATTGTGTTTGCAGATGGATTCCCAGGGAATTGAACCAAACAGCAGATTTTTTAGCCAAATCTGGATAGGGGAGGGTTTTTTTGTATAATATTATTGTTATTGTTATTGTTTATTAAGAATAGACAGTGTTAAAGGGAAACAAACAGGAAGTTGAAGCGATCACTCATTTTTTCCTAGAATTTGAAAAGGAGAAAAGTCTCTTCTACTTCATCCAACCAACTCAGTCATTGCCCAATATTGTTGCTCCATGCTTTCCATTTATTCATTACTCAACTTGGTCAAGGCAGCAGGCTTCCCATCAGCCTATTTTATTCTTTGTCCTGCATAAAAAGATGTATTTTGTGTTGTTTTTGAACAATCCAACCCTCAGTTGGGAGTTTTTTAAATGTCACATTGTTTATCTTAAACCTAAAATTAGTCCTTTGGATGGCAAGGGAAGACTTTACTCTTTTAATGGTGAATGGAGGCTTATTGTGGGAAGCAAACCTAACATTTTTAGGTTATTTTAGTGCATGTAAACTGTTAATAGGTATGTGAATAAGGGCATTAGTGTCATTTCTTGTTCTATTTTTCATGTTAGAGTTACAGATCTGTCCCTCTTTAGTTGTACCTGTCCCATTTTTATTAGGAGCAGATTAGTCATTTGCATTTATTCTAAACATATAATTATATCCGGCTGCCTGGAGAGTATTCATTTCTCTCCTCTTCTCTATTCTCCTCTCCTTCCTCTCTCTCTTTCACACATACGACAGGCTGAATATCATTTGCATAAACTAATAAACAAAAGTAGAAAAGGAAATTTTCATATTTGCACTAAGTTTTAAAATTGTCTAAAAAAATTTGAAGCAATTTGTCATGATCAATAATCTCTAATGATCAATTATACTTTGCCTCTTCTTTTTTTTTTTTTTTTTGATCAATAACAATTCACTATGTAATTTCATTAAAAATTACAAATAGGAAGACAAACTTTCTTATCTTTCAAAAACAGTTTGAGCCCCAAGAAAGGAAAAAAGGAGAAAAAAGAGAAAGAGAAAGGGAAAAGAAGAATAAAATTACAGCTGTGCCCAAAACATCGACTCCCTCTCCACCCCTTGTTTAGCTAACCCATCAACAAAAGAATTAGCTGATCTTTTTACCCAAATGATTTTAACTTCCATTCCTCGAACCGGCCATCTAGATTTCCTCCTCACATTACTGTAATGCCATAAACCACTGCTGTCTTTATTCAACCATCCTACCACCACCTCCGAATCCCCTTCAATTATGAGTTTGTTGATATTCATCTCCCTAGCTTTCTGGATTCCTTCCATAACTGCATGGATCTCGACTCTGAGAGAGTCACCCACTCCAATTCGGCCTAAAAACATGGCTAAGACAACCCCATTCTCATCCCTGAAAACACCCCCAATCCCTGATTGTCCAGGATTCCCTTTGCAACTCCCATCAAAGTTTAGTTTTATGAAACCTGCAGGTGGGGGGGGGGGGGTCCAAGACACACTCATTACTATTTTGGTTTGGGAACAATTATCTCACCCCATTTCCTTAACATGTCATCCACTATATAATTTGTGAATAACTCTAGGGATTTCATCCACTGTATGACCCTTATAAGGATCAAAGCCCTCGGGTCTCTAGCACCTCTCTCTGTTTCAGAGGATATCTTGGAGTTTCTTTCTTCCCATAAGGACCAGCAAACTGCAACCCTTAATCCTCTCCACATAATCCTTCCCCTTTTCATACACCACCTGAAAAAAGAAGGGGAAAACAGATTTTGCAAATTTGATGGAGGGTTCCAACTGCACCCAAAGAAGGAGAAAGCCCACTCCCGAATAGACTTCGCAAATTGGCAAGACACCAGTAGATGATAACTAGTCTCCCCATCAGCTTTATAAAGAACACATTAGTGAGGGGACAAACAAGTATTGGGTCTTTTCTTTTGGAGCAGATCACTAGTGTTGAATCTTTCTAGAAAGGCTTCCCAGCAAAAACTACCAACCCTAGGAGAAAATGATCTGCACCAAACCTCATTAACAGGAAAAGAGAGGGCTACAGGACTAGTGGACTGGTTTAAAACTTTGAAGAAAGAAGCACAGGAGAAAGAACCAGTGTGGGTGGGGGTCCAGATTCTAGAGTCCACCTTAGTAGGGTCTAAGAAAATATTGTCAAGAAGTTGAAGGAGATTCAAAATATTGTCAAGGTTTGAGTCTCTCACAGCCCTTCGCAAGCCCAAATGCCACCTAAAATCAGAGATGGAAGAGGAAGGGGTGATAAAAGAGGAAACTGACTCAGTTTTAAAGTCAAATAGGGCATACAAAGAAGGAAACCGGTCCATTAGGGGGGCATCCCCCACCCATGTATGTTCCCAAAATTTTATGGAATTGCTTGAATTCAAATCATACCTGATAAGAGGGGAAAAAACTAGTAACAACTCATGGATGGATTTCCAAGGTGAAGCGCTTGTGGTCCTAGCTCGGATTCCCGCATCCCATCCATTCAACTCCAGCCCATGTATGCTTGTCACTATCTTGGCCCATAATTTCTCCTCCTCTAATGGGAATCTCCACAGCCATTTCCCCAGAAGGGTCAAATTCCTTTTTCTAGTGTTCTCGAGACCCAAGCCACCGCTGTCTTTATTCCTGGTCACCACCTCCTAGCTTACTCTATGGTCCCTCTTCTCTTCTCCCGGTTCCCAAAGGAAGTCTTTCATCATCTTTTCCAATCTGCTAGAAACCTTAACTGAGATTTTGAACACTGAAAGGAAATAAATAGGTAAATTTGCAAGTGTAGCCTTAATCGGTGTCATCCTCCCTCCCAGAGAAAGGTAATTCCTTTTCCAAAAGACAAGTCTCTTTTCAAATCTTTCCACCACTGGATTCCAAAAACTCTCTTTGGATTGTCATCCATTGGTAACCCCTGATAATTCAAAGGCCACTCTGAGACTTCACATCCTAGCACTTCTACATTCTCCCTGACTTCTCCCTCCAAATTCACACCCACTACACAACTTTTCTCAAAATTCACCTTCGAGTTTGACATTTGTTCAAAGAGTTGTATCACCAATTTCATGTTCCTTATATACCCCATATTTCCCCCTTCACAGAACAGAATCGTATCATTTGCAAAATGTAGATGGGTGAGGGGGATTTCCTCCCTTCCAACTCTCCAATCTCTAATAAGACCCCTAGAATATGCTCTGTGAATTACTCTCCCTAAGACATCAGCAATCAGTGTGAACAAGAAGGGAGACTGGGGGTCTCCTTGTCTGACACCCCTAATGGTTGGAAAGAAGTCAACCATTGTTTCATTCACTAGTACAGAATAATGACAATTCTGAACACACCCCATAATCCATTTGCACCATCTAGTCCTAAATCCAAATTTGGTCATAACATTCCTTAAAAAATCCCAATCCACCAAGTCATAAGCCTTTTCCAGATCCAACTTACATACCACTCCCTTCTTCCTATCCTTTCTGAAATTCTCCACTCTCATTGGCAATTAGAATTTGATCTGTAATTTGTCTTCCACTCACGAAGGCTCCTTGATTTGGTGTAATGATAGCTAGCAATACTTCCTTCAGTCTCAAAGACAACACCTTTGCAAGGATCTTATACAACCTATTAACCAGACTGCTGAAGTCCTTTGGATGCAATGCATCATTCTTTTTTAGGACCAAAGCTAAAAAGGTGGAGTTTACACCTGGGTTAACCACTCTTCTATGAAATTCTTTAAACACCAACAGAAGGTCACCTTTCACCGTATCCCAGCAGTCTTGGTAAAAAGCCATTGTGAAGCCATCCGGACCTGGAGCTTTTGTTCTATCCATAGAGAACACAGCCCCCTTAATCTCTTCCAACTCAAACCTTCTTTCCAACCATCTTCTATTATCAAACCCTATTTCTGGCCAGTCCAAGCCTTCTACCCACTCCCCCTTACTTACAGGCCTTCTAACTCAAAAGTAAATGAATATAAGTAATCTCTAGTTGTCAATAAAATATCTTTCCAAGTTATCAGTTAAATTGAAGGGTTACTTTTTTTAAGAGGCAAATTGAAGTGTTACTTAATGTACTAGGATAGTTAGTGTAAAAAAAGCTCTAGCATCCTTTGTTTCCATTCTTTTATTCTTAAGGTTTAGAATCAGTGTGCATTTCCACTTCTCTTGTAACTGAGATCTAGTTCTCTTTCACATTCCCCCTGATGAATGATGGTTGGCTGCCTGTCTATGGATTTCTTCAATGTTTTGTTCAAATATCTTGTTAGGCATAGGAAATGATCCTTATATTTCCTCTGTCTTCCTTTAATTGTTGATTATATGCCCATGCAACTTTATTTTTATTTTTTTTTTGTAGGATATCAGAAGGGAGTTAGGAATAGAACCATTTGTGAAGCTTGACGGATATGATAATGATGAGGAAGAGGTTCAAAGAGCAGTTGTAAGTATAGATAACTAACACAATGGCAGGCATGGTGTTGCCCACTGTGTAGAATGCTAGTTGTTCTCATATTCTCTTGTGTGTGACAGGTAAATGAATCTTGTCCTCGTTGTCGGCACCCCCAGCTTGAATATTACACCAAACAGGTAAAAGGCCCATATGGATCCTTTTCTCGATTCTTGTTTCTTTGTGCTAGACATCGTTTTTTCCTTGTCTTCATGCATATCAAATTCTAATCTCCCTACCCCTTATCTGTTTCTTGTCGCAGCTACGGTCAGCAGATGAAGGGCAGACAGTTTTCTACGAATGTCCAAAATGTAGACACAAGTTCTCAATCAATACATGAGACTTTGTCATGGCTTAAGAGTATGCTTTGGCTTTAGTGGTGACTGAGATCATATACATGGCTATTGTATCGTATCGGGTGTTGTTTTTTTCTTGAAGGTGAATATAGAAAGAGAAAAATTTTGTACCTTGTTGATGGGTTTGTTAAGGTGTCAAGCTTTATCTAATACAATCTATATTTTCATTAATATTTCATAGTTTTTTGAATTGCTTTTTCGGCTGATAGTTTGTTTTTTCTTTTTTATGGTCTTTTTGAATGAAAATTTCCTTCTATTTGTTGGTTTCTATGACTATGTTGCCATACATTTTAGGTTGGAAAGAACTAAATTTGTTACCATTAGTTTTGGTTTGTAATATTGTAAAATGCTACCACATATTGATGCAAAGAAAATATTTCCATGTTCTCATATTAGTTTCTCCATATAGCAAACCAGAATTTTGATTATTAAATACAACTATTAATTTAATTATGTAGGGATTAGGAAGAAAATTTCATCAACCAGGTTATTAATTCAAAGGTTCAAACTACTCTTTTTTTTTTATAGAATTAATTCAAACTATTCATGGTCTTAATGTAACTGGCCGAAAAATGCTTGTTGAATTTGATCTAAAAGCCTTTATTTCTTTCATACAAGCTATTGTTCATTTTCTAATTAAAATCAGTAGTTTTCTCTCTTACATGCATATTAGTTGAAAAATCTTAGATGTCTCTATAGAGTAGCAGAGTGACATTTAGTTGTGCCCATGAAGTCACTGGGGAACATGCAACCCTGGTGCAAGGATCAAAGTATCGACACATATTGGTCTATATCGGCTGATATGTATCGGCACCCCTTCGATACGCCCCTACAATGGGTGTATCGGGGGTTTGACTGGTCTAGGGGATGGAGGAGACCTAAACCGGCCCCCCCTAAACGGGTTACAAAAAAAATATATATATAAAAAAGTGTATCAATTCGCTCAATACCCTCATACCGGTGTATCGATATTTTGAACCTTGTCATGGTGAGAAAGCTCATAACATGGTTCCTTGCAAGGGTTAGGATAAGAAATTTGTTGCTGCTGAAATATCATTCATGTTTGATCAGATACACCTTTTACTCCCTGTTTTGTCTTACATCCATTTGTTTGTGACTATGATTTGCACCTGTACTTAGTGCAGAACTTGTGCTTTTTGCCACATTGCTCTCATTAGCAGTGCAAATTTTGCATCTTGAACTGATGTTCCACATGTGTGGCTGGGTGAATGTGGCCAGTAATGTGTTGTGGTCATCAGATTGAAAGTTCCGAACTCCTTTCATTGTACCCTAAATCTTCTATACAAAATGGGGATCATATGGTTTTGCATCATTTCTTACTCATCCTTAAGAAATTCCTATTGCCTCCACTCAAGGTTCAAAATATCGATATAGTACCCTTTTTTTATGTTATATATATTATATATATTTTGCAACCGGTTCAGGGGGGGTGGTTTAGGTCTCCTCCATCCCCTAGACCAGTCAGACCCCCGATACACCCACTGTAGGGGCATATCGGAGGGGTGTCAGAACGATACGTATCAGTCGATACGGGCCAATATGTATCGATACTTTGAAACTTGCCAGTTCAATCTTTACAAACAAGAAAGGCAAAGTCAAACTAAAACAAAAATAAACCAGAAAATGATTTGATTCTTGAGGAAGAAGATGATGAACTATGTCAAAGGGTAATTTTGGTCGTACATGTCATCAATAACTGATGGGCTGCTAACGACAAAGATTAAACTAATATGTTTTTGAAGTTTAGGTATTGGATTGACATGTTTTTAAGTTCAAGGACCAAAGTGAAACTAGGCCCAAAGTACAGGATACGATTATACGAATCTGCAATTTTCCTTTATTTTTATACACAAAAACACAAAAAGAATTGGAGAAAAATTTGGAAACAAATTACTAATAGAATAAAAAATTATTACACGGACACATTTGCTGGTATATATAACTGAAATAGGCTCGTAAGCTTTTAAGCTGATATTTTGTTGATCAAATTCAAGTTCAAATAACTAGTTGAATTTACCTTGAAATTTGAGTTTGAATAACACCGAATTCGAACAAGCCTAATAAAAAACTAGTGCTTGAATTGTTTAATTAAAGCTTGATTAAATTGCACCCCTAGTTTAAACAGGCCATATTCATTCAGCAAAAGCTTGGGCTTTTTGCATCTATATGACCCATTGGCCAATGATTTAATAAGCCTCAGAACTCCAGCAAAAGAATCTCAACCAATGATTTCTGTAAAGTGGGTCTGGTCAAATTGATCTATTTTTGCTGCTATTAAGTGCCAATCAAGTGTGAATATACAGGTTGAGTTTAAGAGCAATCACTTAGGGTTTGTTCGTTTCCTCTTAACTCTCATTTCTTAAGAGGAATTTTTTAACTTCAAGAGAAAAATGGTTGTTCGTTTACTCTTATCTCTTATCTCTTAAAGTGCAATATACAAAATGGATATTTGATAATTTTCAGAATTCAAAACAACATTCTTTGCATTCAGAGTTTAGAGGAAAGAAAAGTTCACTAATACTAATATACCTCTTAATTTAATTATTGCACTTTCAGATGCCAAAATTCAGAGCAAACAAACAGACACGAGAAAGCATGCATTGGAGAATGGTTTGAATTGGGCAACTCAGATATGGAGATGAATACAGATAGGGATACATTTTGGAAATGCATGGATATAGACAAAAGATATAAAAATGCTTGAATACACTAGTAAATGCATTAATAACACTAAATATAAAGCTGAATTATCTGTGAATAAGCTGAATTCTCTTGCCCTTGAGGTTCTCAATCCCCCTCAAAACTCCAAGGAGAAGATGAGTTAGAAGGATTTCTTGGATGTTTCCTATCTAGTTGAGGTAACCCGGGTGAGACTTGTGGAGGTGGGATGGTTAGAAACGCCATGGGTTTTTTTTGTTTGGTGTTTTACAGTTATGGTTTTGCTACTTTAACTAAAGCTGAATTCCTAGCCCTACTAGATAGGGGTGAGCAAAGCCTGGTTAAAACCAAAAATTTTGGTTTTGGTTTCAGTTTGTAGGTTAGGAAATTCGATTTACTGTAAAAACTGAATCAACTGGACGTTATTATTTATATAATTTATTAAAGAAATTCAGTTTTAACTGAACCAAAAATTTTGGTTTTGGTTTCAGTTTGTAGGTTAGGAAATTCGATTTACTGTAAAAACTGAATTAACTGGACGTTATTATTTATATAATTTATTAAAGAAATTCAGTTTTAACTGAACCAAAAATATTCGATTTATTGGGTTCGGTTTTTTACAGAATAAACCAATTTTTCACCCCTACTACTAAATGATATTCAAAACTGTTTTGACTATGGCTTTCTTCACGTCGAGGTTGAAACTTGAAAGTGACAACACATTTATCATCAGTGTTATGAAAAGTTTGACTCCTTACCCCTGGTTGGTGTCTCACACGGTTAAAAAAATATACACCTTCTTCTTAACTCTATGGATATTTCTTTCTCTCACACTTTGCAGGAAGGGAATTGCTGTGCTGACTTCTTAACGAAAGAAGGCACTGATGAGGGATCTTTCATGATTTTTGAGCCTGCGTCCATTCTCCCTATGGGTCTGTCCACTCTTATATGTGAGGACTACTTAAATCTTCTTCCCACTCTTTGCATTGATTATTTATTTATTTATTTTGTGTGTGTGTGTTGGAAGGGGTCAGAGAGAGCAAGGGATATCTTGTATCTGGGTTTCAGGCAAAGCCGGTTAAGTCCTCCCCTGCTTTCTTTGAATTATTTCAGTTATTCTAAGGTGGCCGGCCTAGAGTAAGTTTTGGGAGAAAGAAAAGGGATTCATGTGTATATATATATATATATAGAGAGAGAGAGAGAGAGAGAGAGAGAGAGAAAAGACTCGTGCAACTTTCCTCTGAAGTTTATTTTGGTAGCTTCACTGAAGCAGCTAAAGTCTCCGGTCTCATATAAGCTTTGCCTACTTACTGGAGACTCATGTGCAAAGAGCAGTGGGCTGAAGTCACATAACAAGAAGACAGCAGTGACTGAAGCCTAACCAGACTTATAAGATCAGCCAGCTTAGTTAGTGGAGACTACACTACTGTCTGGGTCTTGTTGAAGTTTGAATCTAGATAATTCCATCCTGTATAGCTGAATTTTGCCCTAAATCATTAATAGTTTTGGGTAGATTTTGGTTAACGGTTACCGAGTGAAACAAAACTTTTTATATTCATATCCGATAACTTGATGTAAATGAGGAACTTGGATATTTTATCCTTTTTTTCCTTCATTTTTTTTTCTAATTTGGGTGATTGGCAAAACTAAAATTCCCGTCCACTGAATGGCAATCTGAATCTCTTTCTTGTGAACAAGCCAGCTTGGTTTTAACTTAAGGCCCCAATAATATCATTTCTCGTCACAATGGGGATACAGGTTCAACCACGTTGATTGATTCTCAATACACTTTATTTACCAAAACCCAACGTAACCCCCCCAACCACCTCACTCAATAAATGGGCATACAACAAGTACAACTTCACAACAAATTTGTCTCTCCCCACAAGCAATCTCACCCCACAATGGAAAAAAGCACACCCAGATCCCATGAATCCCTTGTAAAGATGACTAATATTTCACACAATATACAAAAATACACAGATAAAGAATAACCAATACCAACGCCCCAAAACTATAATGCCCATCCACAACAAGTCGTCTAACCATGGTTGTTAGCATCTATTGTGGTCCCTGTTCTGGCCTGTGAAATCCGGTTAGCGTAAATAGTCACCAACCGCAACTGTGTACTGTTGAGCCCTTCTAGATATGGTAAGAATGCTTTCCCAAGCATAATGTAGATATCTACCAAACAGAAAACAACAGTCTGTGCCACGCCAACCACAACAAAAGAGAACCATCATCAGAAACATATCAGATGATAAGGAATCAGGAAATCATGTACTAGTCACACATGGACTATACAAAGTAAATTTCAACATGAACAACAAGAACAATTCCACTCTGCGTTCATATTTCAAGTACAGAAACATGGCACTAATTTCACATACATGCTTATATTGAAATAAACTAAGATAACACCTGGGAGTAGGCTCCAATACAACATGAAATGAAGAAGACTAAGATGATTTCGTCATGTGCAGATCATTTAAGCACCTGAAAAGTGGTCTTTTATAAGTTGACGGGTCTACAAGTGCTAGGCCAAACCAGAAAGGGAATAAGTTGTGAGAAATGATTTAAGGCCACACAATTAAGTGATGTGATTGATCCTATAAAATTGGGACAAGGCTTAATTGAGTTGAATTGAGCAATGACAAAAGATATAACATCTATGGGAGAAACGTTCGGATTTCTAGTTATGATTAGACTTCGCCAACGCTCAACTTAGTCCTTGATGAAAACTAATGTTATTGATTAGACATATTCAAGAGGTACCACGGTGCTTGTTTTTTGCTGATGGCATTGTATTAATTGATGAAGATAAAGTAGGACTAAATGAAAAATTAAATCATAGACAAATACCTTAGAAACAACAAGTCTTTAAATAAGTAGACCAAAACAGAAAAATATGCATTACAAGTTTAATAATAACAAGAGTAGAAATTAGGGTACATTCAAGGTTGGAGACCATGTGATAATAAGATCTATGGCAGAAACATTAGAATTTCTAGTTATGATTAGACTTCACAAAGGCTCGATACTCGGCCCTTACTTACTTGCACTAGGTATGGATAAGTTGACTAGATATTCAAGAGATCTCATAGCGCTTATTCTTTGCTGATGGCATAGTATTAATTGATGAAGCTAAAGTAGTACTAAATGCAAAATTAGATTATGGACAAATACCTTAGAAACAAGAGGTTTTCATATAAGTAGGACCAAAACAGAATAATGTGCAAAGTAGATTTAAAAATAATAAGAGCAAAATCAGGGTACACTCGGGATTGGAGACCACGGGATAATTCAATGTGACACTTTCTATTACCTTAGTTCAATAGTCCATAACAAATGAGATCGAGGAGGATGTTACCTACTGAACTAGAGAACAAATGGGCAAAATGGAGAGGTGCATCTGCAATCTTATGTGATAGGAGAATACCTCTTAAGCTAAAAGGAAAATTTTATAACACAGTTTAAAGCCAACAATGATGTATGGAATAGAGTATTGGACAGTCAAGATACATTATTTTGAAAACACAAGTGGCAGAAATGTGAATGCCTAGATGGATGAATTGGAAAACTAGGAGAAATTTTAATATCTACAATAGGTAATGAAATGAGGGAAAATATACTAAGATTGTTGGGCCACCTGTAGAGAAGAATATCTACAAAACCAGTAAGAAGAAATAATCTGCTATAAGTTGAAGGGGCTAAAAGAACTGGGGGCAACCCAAAAGGTACATGGGTTGAAGTAGTGAGAAATGATTTAAGGGTGCATAACTTAACAATGGATATGGCACTGAAAAGAACAGGGTGGTGGAATTGGGTTCATGTAACTGCCCCCATACGGTTGGGACATGACTTAGATGATGAAGAATCATCTTTGTCCTGCATCCTAGTGATCATTATAGTATGAAAATTCTTTGATTTTTTGGTTTGTAAGCATTTTTGCTTTAGGCATTTATCATGACCACTTGCGTTTCTAATTACATCAGTTTGATTCATAATTAGTATTTTTTGTAGGTTAATAAATTGCTTTCTATGATCATTTATGTTGCTTGCTTTTTAGTGTCCACAGCAGTTATCTTGTTTTAGTTGAATTGCATTTCATTAGTATTCATCCCTCATGAAATTTTATAAGTTCCATTATTGTATAGTTACTTATTTTGCACACATGGTGTTTTTCAATTTTCACACACTGAAAATTCTTTTGCACTTGTCTCTCTCAATCCAAATTGTTACGGTCTCATAGAAGGTAAGGTTGACAAGGATTCCTTGCTAGTTGCAGTTTCTCAGCAAAGGTTCCTCTGTATAATGGAATCAGTTTTTTAAAGTGCAAGGCACAAGGCAAGACACACACCTTTTTGAAGCAAGGCACACAATTTTTAAAAATTTCAAAAAAAAAACAGAAATATGAAAAAATAAAAATATTAAAAACAATATTAATTAAATAAGAAGACTTGACTTTAATTTTAAACTGAATGTTTTAAAAAGACAAACTTTCAATCTCTTTATTTAAGCACTCAAGCATTCAAGCATGTTATGCTTTCAGTCTCTCTATTTATTTCCCGATCACTTTAATTCAAATAGGTAATGTAATATTAAATGTTCTGCATTCCTAATTCCATGAGATGCCTTTGTACCAAGCCCCTTGAGTCAAGCCCAAAAAAGTCCATCCTAGAGTCTTAAATTCTTAATCTAAACAAAAAATGACTTTATAATTTTAATTATAGTTCCTAATCTTTTAAAAAATGCCTTGTAGTAAGAAGAATGAATGAACAACATTAGGAAAAGGGGGCTCTTAAAACATGGACTTGTTTTAGTTTACCCCAAGGGGCTTGGTTTGGGTCCGGGGGCAGAGCCCAGCCACCATGGTTCATAAAGTGCAAAATTTAAATAAGGTGCATGCCTAAGCTAAAGCACAAGGTTCACGCACATGAAGCACACACCTTTTCAAAGGGGCTGCACATGGACCTGGGCAAGGCATAAGCCTTGAAATGCACCTCGTCTGTGTGGCTATGCACACCTTAGACATGTCTTTTAAATCACTGCCAAGAAATGAATTTACCTATAACCCAACAGCAAACTCAGTATACTGAGTGGGGGCATGCCTAAGCTAAGGTGCAAGGCTCACGCACACGGAGCACACACCTTTTCAAATGGGCTGTGCATGGAGGCAAGGCATAAGCCTTGAAATGCACCTTGACTGTGCGCTTATGCACACAGCACACCTTAGGCATGTCTTTCGAATCACTGCCTAGAAACAAATTTTCCTATAACCCAACAGCAAATTCAGTATACTGAGTGGGGGCATGCCTAAGCTAAGGTGCAAGGCTCATGCACATGAAGCACACACCTTTTCAAATGGACCAAGGCGTAAGCCTTGAAATGCACCTCGACCGTGCGCTTATGCGCGCCTTAGGCATGTCTTTTAATTCACTGCCTAGAAACGAATTTACCTATAACCCAACAGCAAACTCAGTATACTGAGTGGGGGCAAATAACGTTCTAAATACTTTGGATACACCTCAGAGCTCCAACCTATCTTTTTATATCTAAGTATCTAACAAAAACACGTCGCAACTCCATAAAACATTAAAAAAGAGTTACCTCAAAAGGTTCAGGCCCTTCATGCAAAACCACTAGCCTGGCCATGTCAACATTATGCAGATGGCATGATAGTTCATCTAACAAGTTAAAAAGCATGTCCTAAGCTTTAACAAAAACAAACATTTTTAGAAGTTGGCAAATCCTTGACAAGGAAATATCTAGTAAAATGCCAAAACTTGATTTTTAAATTTTCAATAAACTTGTTAGTTTTATTATAGTTTCAAATAATTTACATAATTTATACAACCATGCATCTCTTTGGCATACTTGGACAGGTTAATTTGCTAGACCATTGATTTAAAAGGCTTAACCCTTGTCAGAATAAGGCATATGGCTCAAGCCTCAAGGCGTGAGTGTGAGGTGTGAAAAAGCATAAGCCTCAAGAACCAATGATTATTTGGCGATTTAACACACACACACACTTCAGTAATTATGGGCCAAATAAAACAAGGCCAAGTAATCATTTGAATAAATCTGAGATGTAAAATGTTTACAATTGTTAACTGATTAGTTATTATTTTGTTGAAGGCACAAAAGCTAGAACTTGTTGCATTTTGATACCTAAAATGTAAAATGCTTATAATTGTTAATTGATTAATGACTTGGTATATTATATGTTTCTTTGATCAGTGACTTGGTATATTATATGTTATTTTTGTCATTCATAAGTTTCAATTATTTTTTTTGTTAGTTTTTGAGACTTGCCGCTTGTGCCTCACATTTTTTGGGCCATTACGCCTCAACTACGCTTTTAGCCATTTAAACCCTTGTGCCAGACCTGTGTGCGCCTGGGTACTTGGCAAGTGTACCACATACCTAAGTCACCAACACTAACTCTGTAGGCCAGTCTAGCTTTTATTTTATTATTTTGTAGGATAGTCAATGTTTTGGAAGGTCAAGCAGAAAGCCCATTTAACTGGCCAACATGTATTTACAAGTAAAAATGGAAGATGAAAACTAATTTTCACAACTAACAAGGAAAATGTTTCTTAATCTTGTCAATTAAGGAAGGTCCCTAGACCTATGATGCCCAGATATGGATAGGCATACGGATACAAGAAACAGGAATACAATTCTCCATTTCCCATTATCTAATTTTTGAAGTTAAATTTAATAGCATTATCAAAATATACGTCATGGCAAATTTCATTAAATTTTTAGCATCTGCAGATAATTTTATAGTATAATTTGTTAAAACATACCATGTTACATATTTTAGGAGTGTTAATGCTATAAATTACACCTAGAACTATCCAGAAGTATCTAGTGTGCAGGTATCCAAGTATCATAGCCCTAGACAATCCCACCTATTTCTACCATATGGAGGAATCAACTGGCTTATCCAAACTGTACCAGAAAAAAGATTCCGTGGAATTGAGTATGTTCGTTCCCCTGGTCCAGATCAGCCTCATATCACTTTGTATTTAAACACCCGAGGAGTCTGGATCTGCTCCTCACAGCATGTCCCAGCTGCACATTGAGAACATCTCCCATACTTGTATTTATTATTCATGGGGAGATGTTCCTAATACACGGTGGGATGTGATGTGAGGTCGGTGTGAGGAGCAAATCCCAATTCATCCCTGAGTTACACAAGCCTTTTGCTCATATGTCTTGTGAAAACTAACCTTCAAACCTAACAAGGAAAAAAGTTTCCTAACCAGATCAATTGGGAAAGCTCCCTCAACAAGCCTACCTATTCTTGTAATGTGGAGGAATCCTGTGCTGGAAACTCAGCCTATACAGCACCTGTACTGAAACCTCCCCCAAGTTACACAAGCCATACACTCATACTGCTTGTTAAAACTAATCTCTGCAACAAGGAAAATGTTTCTTAATTAGATCAATTAGGGAAGCTCCCTAGGCAACCCTGCCTATTTCTGTCATGTAGAGGAATCCTATTGCCATTCCAAACTGTCCAGCTATGGGGCACTATCGACTTTCCACATATTTACTTCCCTTGTCCATACCAAATCCATACAGAACCTTGTAATGAACCTTCCACCCCAAACTTTAACAAGTTGTATGCCTGTACCATGACCAGTGAAGGCATTTTGGTACATAAAAAAAATGAAGGTAGGTGGTTTAAACCATACATTTCCAAACCATAGAAAAAAACCATCAAAGATCAAGGGTAATTTTCTTACCTTACGAACATCTGCGCTCTGGTTCCCAAAAGCATCAAAAAGAGCAGGCAGGAATGAAGGCAACTGACCCATTAGTTCTTCTTGTGAAAGTCTCCCCACAAGCTGAAGTATAAACAGAAATTTCCCACTGTCATTAATACTAAAAACAGCAAAACAATTACAGATCTAAAATGGAACTTCAATGAGAGAAGGGGCTCCAATTTCTTCTAGTCTTTGTTTAGGCTATTACAAAAGATGATTGACAAAATAAAACACTAGAATAAGAAAAGGAAAAAAAGTAAGTGCCTTTCTCATATCTGCTTTGTAGTTAAGAAATAACAAACAAAATTGCCCTACAAATTCCTCAGGGCCCATATATACTTTGGGGAAAGACAAGAAGGAAATAAGTAGATCAAACCAGAAATGTTAATAAGTAAAGAGAAATTAAAAATAGATACTAATCTCTAGCATCCTCGATGAAAATGGATTTGAAGTTAAAGCCAGGAGAAAACTGTACAGGTAGCAGTGGCAAAGGACTTTCTAGCCATAATATCTTATCCAGGTCACCTTCTTGAATCAAGAAAACAATGTACTGAAAAGTGAAAACTGGACTAGATATCAAACTGGAAAGGGGTCGGATTCCATTTTCTGGTTTAACTGGTAGTTCAACCTCAAAATCCCAGTTTTCCCAGCTATGAACTGAAAAGCGGTCTGGTTCTGGTTCAACTGGGCAATCTGCTCTAGTTATCATCAAAACATTACAAAAGTATATTCCAAAGAGAACATCACAAAAAATCTAATTGTCAAAAAGTGTTAATACTTAATAGCAAGTTGGTAGAAAAGGAATACTATAACATTCATTCTTTTATGTAGATTTGGTTAAAATTACTCCACATGTGTTGGTTTGTTTTACAACCTATAAAATTCATTCTTTTATGCTCATTTTGATGTAAAATAGTTTGAAAAGGTTGAAAAACTTGAAAGGTTCCATATGTTCCTCGCCTGAAATCCAAAAGGAGCTTAAAGGGGTTTGCAACCAAGATTTTTTTTTTTGACTTTAGTTCTTTGTATAGCTGATGATAAAATAGAAAAATAACAAGAAGAGGTGACTAGCTATCACCCAAAGAAAGAAAGCTCAACCCCCCCCCCCCCCAAACACTTCTGAGATACAATTTCAATCCGTACCCAGACCCTCAACAAAATAGAAGGTCTCCCTGCATAACCCTCACAATCACCCACAAAATCAATTCATACCCAAACTCACTACAACCCAAGATTAGCTAAAATACCACTCTGCTCTAAATTAATCGGTTCATAGGATATTTCTTTTCCAATACCATGAATTTTTTTCTTGCCAACTCTTCCCCTTCCAAAAAGAAAATCCTCAACGGTTCACTTACCTGGACCTCTGTTTCAACAATTTTCTCCAAATCAACTCTCCCCTCCACCTCTCTAACTCAAACAAACATCACCTCATCTTCATCTTCTTGATCTTTATTGCCCTTCTCTCCATCTTTACACTCCACTTTCGCATGCATACCATTTTCTTCAACTAGCTGAGCAGAGTCTGTTTCCATCTTACTTTTCTCAATGTTCCTCCCCACCATATCATGACGAATATTCTTCTCAGCATCTTTCTGTGTTCTGTTTTTACCCTCCACAACCTTCTTATACACCCTCTTAAATTTATTACAAGGCCCTGACCCCAGAAGTCTATCCTTCAAACAATGAAAAACCTTAGTGATGTGAACCAAATTTCCATTGCTTGCACCCTTGGATTTCTTCTTTTGGTTCTCCATTGCACCAGTATCATTGCTAGTTACTTCCTCTCCAATCACAACCCTTTTCCACCCCAGATCAACCCCTAGTTTGCCAACACATACCTCAGTCACATCTTCTTAACCGATCATCTCTAATCCTCCTTCCAAACCATTAGTTTCATGGCTATTCACAATCAGTTCAACCCCTGGAGGCACGTCTCCAGGTGAGGTGTCCACAAAATGCCCAGAGGCATTGATACTTGATACCTCAGTCTCAATAACTCGCCCTTAACTGAGCTCATTTCCTTTGTTCTCTCATCAATAAAAGCTACTCTCAACATTTCATCTATCGAAGCCACATCTTCAGGGTTCGCTGTTGACAGCAACAATACTTCAGACACTGCCCCATCTTGTTTATCCACATTCAAATTCTTGGATAGATTCCCCCTCAACTCTCTGTCCACACTCACTGTTTGATGAGAGATTTCCCCTTCTATTTTCCACTGAATCTTCCTTCTACCTCAACATTCCAGACAAACCTAGTGATAACCCATTCCCACTCATCATCTTCCTCTTTTCCTTTGTTTGGAGTTAAAATTCTCTTTTGATACTTGAAGGAGATCCATTTCTTCCCCCAAACCTTGAACCATCACCTTCGATCAGCATGTTTGTTAACACCCACCCTATTGAATACAGGTTGTTTACTTTGAAGCCTATGTTCAAAATTAACTTGGGAAGACAATGGTGGAGCATGTCTCGTAAAAGGATAAAATTCCCTTCTTTGGATCTAAAACCAATAACTGGCCTTCCCAAGTTAATTGTGAAATCCAAGATATGATTTCAAGAGACTCACCTTTTTCATCTAACTACTTAAGTGATCATGCTAGTGGTCAATATGTTTACATTCACAAAAACAAACTTTGAAAGATAATCTAGGACAACTAATTTTTTAGCATTTTTTATTTGAATGAATTGAGTGGTTAGACTGGCAATTGAATCATTAAATCCATGATCCAATGGTCAAAATGGTTTTACGTCCAGTCAAAATTTGACAACATTGACTAGAATCCAAACTATGATTTTAGGTATCGTTCTCAATACAGAGAAAACTGCCTTGTAAAATTGATTAACAGAATGGCTACTCTTGAATAGGAAACAAAAGGTCAAGGCCAATGGCAGCAATGGTGACAAAAAACAAAGCTAATTATCCAAGAAAGTTATGCTAGGCAGTTCATTACTCCAGTACGTTTAGGAAGAGTAACCCAAGTTTTTTCTTTTTCTTTTTAAGCCTCATAAGACCTAGGTTTTTAGAGAAACATGAATTAAAATAAGAAAAATGTATGGAAAGGCCATACACTATGCTTTTCTATTAATAAATGTGAATGCATTGTATTGATGAAAAGTATACAACATAGTCTATATAGGAAAATATACAAACAATTTAACCATCAGATAGACATATATAGTTCATCATCATCATCTAAGCCTATTCCGACCTATATGGGAACAGCTAGATAAACAAAAATAGTTAATATTTAATAATTAAAAAAGAAGGTACCTCAATCAATCCATAATTTATCTTCATTTACATATTGACAAGAAATGATATTTGATCATTAATTTTTATCAAAGATTAAAAAAACATAATTCAGTTCCAACAAATTGTTGCAAAAATTACAAGAAAACTAAATTGCACTTTTACACATTTTACTGTTTAGTAAGGATTCTTAAGCAAAACAAAACCTAAAAGGCGAGCATGGACATGTTCAACATAGCATATGAAGTGGTATTCTAATCTTAATATCTTAATGTGGGTTTGGCTCAGCTTGAGAGTCTGTACCTATTCTTTCTTAATTAATAATGTTTCCTGGCTATCTATCAAAAAAAAAAAATGAAGTGTTATTCTAAATTTATTAACAATATATATACTAAAAACAAGGAAACTCAGAGTGTAATGTTTATGCTCTGAGGTCTAAGCCTCAAAGCATAGCCCTCACAAGCCATTTGAAACATTGAGAATGAAAGCAAAGAACCTCTAATGAATAGATTAGAATTCTAAACAGGCCTTGTAGCCATTTTGCCACTAAAATTTGTGAGAAACCACAAACATTATAGCAGAGTTATAACAGGATTGTTTGGAGTAAATAGGGTAACCTTGTCTTTCTTTTTAGAAATTTGGCAACCACCATTTGCGAACTCTTCACTCTCTGAGGAGGCAGACATCAGGTCGCCCTCTTGGGATGATACTTTTTCTTTTCCTTTGGAGAAGTTGGGACTGCGCTTCTTTCGAAAAGATTTAGCTGGGCTTTTTAACCGGATCAGGCCTGGGTTACAAAATGAGCAGACCTTTCTATTAAGGTTTTGAATTCTATCCACCACCGCCTCAGCCAACCTATCAACAAATGCCACATCAGCCTCTTTAAAATTTAGGAAATTTGAATTTCGAAACCGCCTTACCCTTGAGCCCTTTCCCACCTCACCCTTAGTTCTATCTTAGCCGTAGGATTTTTTTGGAAACCTATGACTGGGATCTTGTCTTCTTCTTTTCCTATTTTCCACTTTCTTCCAACCTTCTTCCCTTCTGATCTTTGATAGGCTGTGGACTCACATGGTGGTCATCGGAGTGAGCTTCGGGGAAGATCATTGACCCTCCTTTCTCGATAGTCTCATTGCCAACCGAAACTCTCCTTCAACTGGTACACCAGCTAACACTCGAGAGATGAAATCCTTGCCAATTGGAATAGCATCTTTATAATCCGTCGGAACCACCGTTCTTTCTTATTTGATCTCCGGCCAAATCATGACTGTGTACATCACTTTACCTACCACTATGTTAGCCGACTAAGGGGGTAAGCCCACCCAGCGAACCTTCAACCGCATACATTCAAAGGACTCCCTATAACTTCTTTGAATTGTCTACTTCCAGAAAACCACCACAGAGGTCACCAATCATCCTACCAATTTCGTTTCTCCATAGATGTAAAGGAAGTCCAAATTCTCTAACCCAAAAATGATCTGGAACCTCTTCTTTCTTCCACCAAACTCCCACCGATTCCGACCAAGGTTCAAGATGTAGCAAGGCTCCTTTGAAACATCCTGAACCCGTATTTAGAACTCTACAAGCTTCTTCCTTTGAGGGTAGGAAGAACACCCAGCTCTCACTGTCAAGACGCCTCACATCGACCCCCTGCAAGCAGTTCCAGACTCTTGAAGACCATTTTCGAATACCCTCTAGCTCGAATCCTTTCCAGTCGAATCTTCCTACCAGAAAAGATTGTAGGAAGACCGATTTGTCCATCATGCTTTCACTATCCAGATCCAGAAAGAAGGATCTGGAGTTCACTTTAACAAAGATCTTCCCATGAGCCAGCCATTGCAGAAAGTGCGAACTTCTCGCATCTTGTCTACCCTTCTCCCCTCAGTTATTTTGGCAACCACCCTTAAATGGGTGGTGGCCCCTCTTAAACCGATTATCCTCAAACATTGGCAGTTACCTCCCGGCGATTCCCCTCAAGTTTTCATGGCAAGAACACCATGCAAACAAGTTGATCGTCTTTCTACATGTCTATCCTCACTCATCATTCTAATAATTTTTTTAGAAAAGGTAAGGTAATATCATTCTAATGAATTTCTTGATGAGTTACCAAACAAAAAATATTAAACAGAAAATATATAGATGACATTAATAATTATGGCAAAGTACTAACAAATATGATAAAAGCAATACCTTTGTTAAACAATTGATGCAAGTAACAAGAGTTTTCTCATCATCACTGACCAATAAAGGAACAATAACCTACAAAACAATCATTCAAAACGTAAATTGAGGGTTTAGTGAACATTCATATACGAATAATCCTAAAACTGCTCGTATGTTAATAAAAAAGATGCAACTTAAGATTTACTTACGGTTAGACATCTGAATGGATCATACTGAGTTAACACAATGGTCAAACAATGCTCAGCTTCATTTGAAACCTGGATGAACAATACAAGAGCTTGCATTTAGAAAAAGAAAACATGCATGTCAATAGGCACACATCAAAGTTTAATATAAAGAACTTCCCAAAAAGTAAGATACCTTAGCAACCATATCCTTTGTTACATGAAGCAATTTTTCAATTACAATTTCCACAGAATCTTCCATTGAGTCTTTCTGGAAGTTACACAGATAAGAAAGTTTAGTAAATGAACAGCATACTATAGGAATTGCAAGCAGTGCTGTTTGGACTTCATAGAGCCAAAGAATTGAACTATAGAAATTATTTTTGAAAGAGATTCAAGGGTTGTCATGAAGTGGTTGCGATTTGCAATCAGAATAAGGAGCAGCCTGGAAATATAGAGACTCCTTGAGAGATACTAGATGTTTATTGCAAGAATTGGGTGTTCAGATCAACCCTTGGTAGGAATGTGCCCCACCCTTTTTTCTTTAGCTCTGATCCAGGAAGGTGTGGTTAGAGATTTTTTTGAGCAGCCTGCATGAAGTCCAGCCCAATCCCAACTCAAGGGATGTTAGGCTGTCGTCAAGTGGAAAGGAGGGTCTGTTTTCAACTAGAAACTGTTATGAAGTTTGTTTTGGCTTGAGTGAGAAGAGGTGGCTTGGCCTTGGATATGGAAGGCACAAGTTTCATCCAAGATTAAGTTTTTCTTGTGTGACTGGCTGCTAGGGATAAGATTCAGTCTGCTGATTCCTTATTGAAACGCAGCTTGGAATTGGATACAACCTGCATTCTGTGTGGGTTAAGCCCTGAAACTGCTCGCCATCTTCCAATTCACTGCCTATTTACTTATCAGGTCTGGTGCCATTTTTCCAAGCTTTTTCAGTTGTGTTGGGTCCCTCCTTCCTCCTTGGCTGATTTAATTTTGGGTTGGAGGTGCAGCTGTTTCTCGGAGAGAGGTAGTTTTCTGTGGAACAGCATGTTTTTTGCTGTTTGCTGGGTGCTCTGGAAGGAGTGTAACCAAAGGATATTTGAATCTCTGTCAGCTCCAGTGGAAGTCATCATATGAAAGGTGGAGAGATCTGTTGAGTTGGGCTAGGTGCTCAAAGTTTTTTGTGGGAGTACCTTCCAACTCCTTTCTGGCCATAGGGGATCCATAACGTTTTGATTTTTGTAGAGTTTTGATTATTCAAAGGCTTTCGTTGTATATGATCTGTGCATATTTATGGACACTCTTTTGTATATGGCTGAGGGCATCTCACCTTCTTTTTTATTTTAATACAATATTTATCATCACTTACCGAAAAAGGCTATGTGGGTATATGTGGGTATACAGATCTGCTAATTGCTTAGCAGATGGGCTAGTTAAACATGGGATACGTGGGCAACATGACAACATATGTTTTGGGGTGTAATTCCTTCAAGGACTTTGTAACATGAGGTTTTGTAGGGCTTAGCCAAGGCTAGCCTCCTCTTACTGTTGCAATATGATTACCATTAACTTATTAATAAAGACTTATCTGTTACTGAATAAAAAATGAACAACAAACTATAATGCTGAAGAGAACTGAAGTTTTAAGCAACAACAGTTTCAAAAGTGCACATAAATTCAACATTGAACTGGAAAAAAAAGATACAACATAGACCTGATTATTAAGCATTTCAACTATCAAAGAAAGAGCAAGTTCCCTGATTGGTGAATCGGAATCATCCAACACCTCGAGTATGACTGTTAGGATCTGATTGAAGTACTGCAGATATAACATTCACAAATCATCAGCAACAAATTATATATAACTTCACTTAGCATTGGCAGAATAAAAAAACATAACATTTTTCTAGACACACACAATTAGAGATATTCGTCATGGCAATGATATTATGATCAAGAACAAACTCTTGTGACCTTGTAGGAAATGCAGTGGCCAATAACCAGATGAATTATAAAACTAATAAATTCATAAATGGACAAGTCATAAAATAGGAGAAAAAAACTAAAAGCAAGAAAAATCTTGTAGAGCTTTCAGAAAATTGGTCTCCACATATGTAGCCTACCTTATCACCTAGGCAAGCCCTAACTACCATGTTGGCACCTCTAGTTTATCCTACTTGTGTACAACGATATATATTTTTTCATCCAAGTCTGACTACGATACCAGAAAAGAGATGATACCTAGTAACCTTCCAATCGAGGGATGATTTCATCAAGGTTCAGCTTGATGAAAATAGTCAAGGTGTAATTATGGCATTACTCTCTGTGCCAGAAGGATATGTGACTCTACAAGGGCTAAAGGTGCTAACAGTACTACAAAACTTGAGACTGGCTAAATCACTAAGGGATCCAAAATTGGTAGAGGGATGGCTAAAAAACAACACCACCAGATCTAGGAAATATCAATATATCTAAAGGGAAGCAATGACATTGGTTGGGAAGATAAAAATTGCACATAAATTGATCTGTGGATCAGCTAATAGTATGGATGATACTTTCGCAAAACAAAGTGTAAACAGAACAATATCGTATTGTGAAATTGCCTATATGGTAGCAGGATTAGCCTATCAAAAAGGAGAATACAAACAGATTCAACTCCTGTACAGTGACATATGCATATACATATGCAAACACAAAACACATGCAGGTATAAAATGGAGTTACCAGTCACAGAATTAATTTTTGAAAATCTTACGTCATTGTTAAGACTTTAGAAACAGTGGCATAATCATAACTGTGCACATACATAAATGCATGCAAATGTACAGGCATAAATAAGTTTTCAGAAACCAATAACTGAAAGAACTACATATTTTTGGACATAAATATGACAATAATGAAAAAACATTCATTCACATATCAAAAAAAAAAAAAAAACATTCACATCATACTAAAAAAACTTGCATTTACATTATACCATGATGCTCAGATATGGATACCTAGACATGACTGGAATACAGGGATATGAATCATATGACTTTCCATTCCTTATAACCCAAAGCCAAACACATATACAGGCACAAGTATCCCACTTAATATGCATATATCATGATTATACGTCAACCTTTTCAAGCTATGCTTCAAACAATTACAGATTTTTGATAGTTTCTCATTTTAAATATCTTACAAGTCTTAACACCATAAGTTAGTATTATAAATGCCCATACAGTATCAGGTACCACAGAATATATGCTAGGGAAACATATCCAGATATCATGGACATCATACCTTGGTCCACACAGAATGGTCATTAGCAATAGAAGCATCAACCAGCTGCTGAAGTGCTGTACGTTTGCTCACACTTGAACTTTCATCATTTCCAATCTACAAACAGAAAATCTCTGATGAATATGATGCATTTCGAATTTTCCTATAACTACCATAAGCCACAGTCGATGGAGCAGATACTGTTTCTCCTCAGAACTTACCTGGTGGAGAATTTGAGGAATACTAGGTCCTGAATCTGGAGTGGAGCTGACTTTAATTGCTGCCAGTTTCTCTTGATCAACATCCACCTCAGGAGAACCCTCAGTACCAAGTGTCAATCCAGTCATTCCCATTCGGTCAGAGTTCATCAGTCCATTTATGTCCAGACGTGGAGTTGACAGAGAACTCTCAACACCTATGTTATGATCTACATTTTCAGTTCGGCTTGTCAAGGATCCAACATTTTCTCTCATGGTACTAGCATTGAACTTCAGATCCTTGCCTTTAGAACTAAGAAATTCAGTATGGGACCCAGAATCAAAACTCTGATAGAAGTGCTCCTGATTTTCATCAGAAGAAACTTGACCGATAGAACTAGCAATCTGGGTCGACTCTTGTGCAGAATTCCACTTCCTTCCACCATCACTATCAATTGAACCAGCAGAATACCTTCCAAAAAGATGACCTTTCTTCAACACACCAGCATATCCTTCTTCAGATGAAGTTCCAACAACATCTGACTGGTCATAGAAAGATTTGGAGCGTTGTCGTTCTTTCTTGTTCTGCAGAAAATTCATCAAGTCGACCTCTATACGAGGAGTGTATTGCTTAAGTGCTCGTCTCAAGGAATTCTGTTCTTCAACTGATAGGCTGAGGATAAAATTCAAGACTGATGTTGAATCAAAATGAGAATAAATAGATATTATCCCAGTAATAGCTGCTTCCTTCAGTTTTGTATTCTTATCGTGGGCCAAAGGAGTCAACTTAGCAAGCCATAACTTTAAAATGCCACTGTTACCAGGACCTTCAGAATTCATAGCATGCTTGTTGAAGGAATTATTAGCAAACTCAATGACAGCCAGTTTTGCCTTTGGAGACCGTTGTTCATCCAATGATCGGAGCAAAGCAGGTAGAAGAGAATCTATACCATAAGTCTTGCTAACAATTTCCAAGGTTGTAGAACAAGGCTGCCGAACTAACTCCTTTGGATCAATCAACCGTGAGAAAACATGCGGTAAGATCCTTTCCATATAACTTTCAAAAGGCTTTCTGCATGCTGGAATTATCTCAGCAAGTGTTGAAAGTGCTGCCTGTGCAACTTTATGGTGGGGATCATCCAAGTGTTGGAAAAATAATTTCATGACCTTCTCAAAGCTCTGTGTAACTTCTTGAATACCTTTTGGTCCTTGCTGCAGCAAGGTTCGAAGATAATTAAAAGCAGCAACCCTAGCACACCAATCAGAACTAGGACTAAGACCTTCAGTCAGAGCTTCACTGAGAGATGCTGGACCATCCATATAGCTTGACATTTCACCAAGTGGCAGCTGGCTATCATCAAAACTGTTTCTACCACTTGCAGAGATCCTCCCAGTTACATGCTTTCTCAAAAGTGGTCGCTGGAAATTTGGAATATAGTTGTTCTGTGCATCCCTAAAACTTGAATCTTTATAAGGTGTATCCAAGTACTGCCTGTCGATATGAGCATTTAAAAATCGTCTATTCCCCCTGATATCAGTATTCTCTTCAATAGAACTTCCTTCTGGTAATCTTTCTGGAGCTCTTTTTGCTGTATAAGGCAATGATAATGCTGACAGAGGATCAGTTGCCAGATTACCAAGGTAAGATAACTTCCCAGGATCTTTGGATGTTTGAATCTGAGAAGTGATCAGATCAGACAAAATCAATCCACCATTACGACTACTTCCTTTAGCAACATTAGGTGCAGTTGTATCTGATAGCACTGAACTTGTGAGATGATTTGAAGCAGTAACAGCTGCTGGGAATGGTGGATCACGAGATGACGGAGGGTCAACTCCTGCACTAGGGCCAATAACAGGTAACAAAATTAGCCATTCACAATGATTCTGAAGATGAACCCAGGAACATAATGCTACGTCTCAGTCATTAGGATAGTGGTTTTATAATGTTCAAGTTACTCCAAAAGTACTGATTTCATGTAAATAACCATTTTTACAAATAAAAATAAAAAAAAACATTTTACTAAATGTCATAAGAAATCAAGAAATTATTTGTACCTAGATCCAAGCTAGTTGACCGCATAGCTGAACCATGTTTCTCAGACATATCTAAACCTCTAAGCATGCTTTCAATTGCTGTAACCTTCTGTTTGCTTGCATGGAGCACACTTTCAAGGCTTCTTTCAGTACCTTTTCCTACTGATTTTGCTTGTGACAGAAGCAGACCAGAAGAAAGGGATGCCCCTGATGGCAGACTTGCACTCCTGTCCATGGCAACAATAGCAGAAGTTCCATATCCTGGTAAATTTGAAGGAGCAGAAGTCTGTGATGGAGCGCGTGACAACTGCACACCTCTTTCACGGAGTGAAGGAGAAGCATATCTTCTGTGCATACCCCCATCTTCATCATTTATGATCTGTGCAATTATGTATCAAATCAGTCAGTCGGTTCAACAATGAAAACATGAAGAAGGTCATGGATAAACAGAAGAAAGTTAATACCCTTTGTATGACTGGATCAAATGACAAGAAAAGGCGGCGGGAACGTTCAGGCCAAGTTTTAGCAAACATTCGGTAGCAAGTTCTTGCAGTTGATCGTACCTATAATTTTTGACAACTCAACTCAGTTAAATAAAGCCTTGTAAATAGTTTTGACCGACGATTCCTGGATATGTGTACAAGGGTACCATTTCCAAGGTTCAAAGTATCGATACACCTGATATGCCAGAAGGGGTATATCAGTACTTTGTACCTTATGGAAGTCCTTTTCATAGTTTTTTTTTTTTTTCAAAAATAGATCAAGGGTACACCGTATTGGCTGATATGTGTCAAATCACATCCAATAGCAAAAGATACAATCACTGAAACAAAATTATACCGCATGAATTGATTAGTATTTAGTAAGCATTTAAAAGTTACAACTAAGAACTGAAATACTCTATATATGACGGCAATGCCTGGAGGAACACCCACGCTTCAAAATCCACAATTTGACCTATATGAATCTTCTTGAGTAATTAGCACCTCATAGCATGGTTGACCCCACATGCCATTCCAAGATCAGTAGTTCATATCTCTCCGAAAGAAGATAAAGCAGAGCTTAATTCTAAAAGTTTCTTGCCAAGGAAACTAGTCGATCAGGTGCTGCTAGGGTCCTTCGCACCCACTCCAAGATAGCTATGCTTCTTTACAAAGTATATTGGCTCTCGTTCAATTTTTCTTTTTTTTTTTCTGAGGGGAACAGACCCAAGAAACGTCTCTATGGAGGTAAACATAAACCAATATGTATATGCAAATATGACGGAAACTTGGAAAGTTTAAGGCAATAAGCCATTTCGCTGTAGCCATTGACTAATACATAAATATAGGTTTTCTAAATCCACTCAAACAAAATATTAACAAAAGAGATAGCTAATCTCCACATCCATCAGAATGAGATGTTCAATCTGGATGCTAGAGCTTGAAAATTTGGTCGGGAGAATGAAATGCTGCTTCATTCAGTTGGTAATCTGACTGAGAGATTAAAATTGTTAGATGTTTGGCTGGGAAATTTGTGAACTCAGACCCAGGCATGGAAGTTGTTGCTGATTGGGTGAATGCCGAATGGAAAGCAAATAAGGAAATCAAGGTCAGAGGACTTAATGCTAGGTTTTCTTCTCTTTATCTTTAACAGTAAAGTGGAAGCTGAAGAGGTGCTTTCATGGGAACAAGACTTTGGATGGAGCGATTAGGAATGTTGGTACCACTAGCTTAGTTTGGATTAGTGCTTTTGGGATTCCGTCCATGCATGGTGCATACAATCCTTTCGAGTGATTGGAGAGGTGGTGTGTGGTAGCTTTAGAAGGGCTGATCATTGAACAAAATCCTGGAAGGATTTATTTGCAGTGCAAATCTTGATTGAAGACAGAGAAATACATGTGATTCCTTCTTCTTTGGCTTTTTGCTATGTGGGTGAATGGTTTGATTAAAGAGTGGTGGTGGAGGGGAGCTATCCTTTAAGATGGTGCAAGTGAGATCAGATCAAATGGAGCTATCTCAGCAGAGAAAGATGGTTTCGGGTTTGAAGGAGGTGGAAACAAAAAGTTGGACACCAGGAAGAATCAAGGTTGAAAATGGGGGCATTTTTTGGAATTCCAGACATGGAAAAGAAGTGGGAGCTTCAATTGAAGGACACATCAGCTGAAGCATTAATGTGGAGAAGATGAAAGGCTGATTAGGTGGAGAAATAGAAGGGTCAGATGGGCCTAGTAAATGCCAAGAGGGAGTTTTTGAAAGGCACATGGGGAGTAGAGTTAAGTGGGCTGGTTCAGTGACTACAGAACTTGGGGAGTAGAGTTAAGTGGGCTGGTTAAGTGGGCTGATTCAGTGACTACAGAACATGGGGAGTAGATCAAGCAGGGCCTACTGTCAACCCTCTTATAACTGATGGGGTTGAGTTTGCAATTAAGGATAACCTTGGTTTGGAAAAAGAAAGGGCTCCTAATGTCATGGCCTTGAACAAGAAGGGAAGGTTTTTGTGAAGCCCTTGGGGTCGGTCGAAGAAGTGAATAGTGAAGCTTTGTCACCTGGTTACCAATCAATTGTATCACGGTTGACTGTTCAATGTTCATTGGTTCCTGGGGGAGATAAAATCGAGGGCGTTCAGGTGGTTGCAGAGATGTAGAAGAAAATAAGTCCTTTTGTGGGTGATTCAATTTATGGGGTAGCAGAGAAGTCAAAGGAGGAGTTAAAGGAGACATGGATGGATTCCCCGGGTTCAGGTGGATTTGAAGGAGTAAATAGGAGTGAGAGCAATGACAGTTTTCTGCAGAGGTAAGTCAAGTTTTTCCTTAACCATTTGAGAGGGAGGCTGCCGAGGTAGGTTCGGCTGTAGTTATGGATCCTTTGATCAGATTAGGATACTGCATACCGTTAACAAATTAAACAAAAAAAAACACTATTATATTTTATAAACAAAATGAACTAGAAATGGCTTTAATATTATACATCATGAATAAAATAAAACAAAATAACTTCTATGAGATTTGAACCTATAACTCTCTAGTAAACATAGAAATGCTCAAACCAACTTAACTAATAGATACAAACTAATTTTATGTAGAAATGTGCATACACTTAAATATTTATGGATTCTGATTGCATTGGAGTGGACCCAAATTTGACACAATATCAACTTTGGATAGAATACAAATTTAACATCAGACAAACAGATACTGTCTGCAGCCCTATAACTCATAGTTCTATAGAGCTTTCTTTTGCAGCTTTTGAAAGATGCCTACAGACTGCTTGTGTAATTGGGCTTCAAGCATTAGAGTTGGGAAATTTTTCTGTGTTATGATGCTAGAATATTATAAAACCGCATAGTTTTAAACTTTTAATTAGCCATATAAATAATAATTAGACTGTTAAAACAACTCCACTTCCCTACACTCATATCCAACAAATACCTCACTCATTGCATCTGCTACACAGCATCTTATAAGGTCTTCATAAAGATCAGCTGATCGATGTATTTCAGGTGCATCAGCCCAATATTCTAGAATCAGAAGTCCATATTCGCAGCACCTGCAATAGGAAAAAAGAAAAAAAAAATGATAACTGTAAAAAAAGGAAAAGCCATTTGCTTGTCTATTTAATAAAATGCAAGATCATACCTAGCACGGAGAACTGCACTACGGTCATTCTTTGCACAGTCAGCAATTCGAGGGAGCACACGGGCAACCTTACAATTTCGCAACATCTGGAAACCCCAAAAGATACATAAACAAAAGGAAAAAAAAAAAAGAAACACAAACTACAAGTTTAGACACAGAAAATGATAACACGTATATAGCAACTAACTGTGAAATAAAGTTTTACTTGTGTATACCGTTTTTATGCAGTTGTCTGCAGACTCAGCAATAACAAGTACAGTTATTACAACAAGCTTGAAAAGCACCTGAACATAGTAATTCCAGGGGAAACGTCAGAACAGCTATTAGAAGACATTACAACCACAATCCACCTCAACAATATGAACTTACTGGAATGAACATCTCAGCACACGCCTCAAAATCACCTAGAAGCTCTTTTGATAACAAGTTCAAAAGATGGCAAGCCTACAACAAGGAAATCCCTATTAGCAACTTGTAGAAAACCTAAATAGTTGGATTTTATGTGTAGGTATTATAAAAAACATACGATGCTCTTAAGGGCCACAGCTGGAATGAACATCTCAGCACCCCTTAACATATTTAAAGCCATTTTTACGTACTAATTAACATTTAGAGCTTCCTACTAGTTATTAAATAATTTATCAAAAAAATAGTTATTAAATCATTTGTCAGAATGCAATGGCTTCTTTATAACCCTTGATATTCTCAAATAAATTGTTTATGTGATCATTTATGCTTTTCTTACAACTACATAATAAAAATCACATTTCAATTACCAAAAATAAAAAAAACTCGTCTTGTGCACATACACAAACACACAGTCACAGACTATACACAAATATTTGTAGATTTTCTGTTCATTAAAAAAAGTCAACTATAATAAAAAAAAAAAGGTCAACTACATGCTAATTTATATGATCACAGAATATGTCTCAGACAACACTATACCTATCAGATAATCTCAAAAGAGTATTTCATGCAAATTTTGCTAACTTATTTGATCCCAAACAGGGGTTTTGGACTACAGTACACCTATTAAACCACTCATCCAACCAGGTTCAGTCCAAGGTACCTTCAATCAGATGGTTGCATCTTGATCCAATCCGAACCCAAAATAGCAGAAAGTTCTATTAGCATGGGAATTAACACATGAACTCACTGGCATCAAAAGGCCTATATAAAATAGACATTGATCCAGTCATGCAGCCACCACCACCAGCACCTGCCCTCCCCCCGACACATAAAAAGAAAATAGACATTGAACAGGTAGAGCCAAACCTCAACATAATTTACTCCTTCCTATTTCCCTCCACCCATAAACTCCCATCCAAGAATTGGCTATCCCATTAGCCTCATGGATATACTATTGATAACACCAAGCCCAACCCCCTCTGTCTCCACTCTCAAGTTTTCAACTCCAAAGCAATCTAGCATTGTTCATCTGTGATTATTGACACACAAAAACATGCAGGGCAATCCAAATTACACACAACCAGGAGCTCAAATTTTTCAAAATAATTATCCCAAAAAGGTTTTCAAGGCATCTAGGCAATTCTGGACAGTAGTGGGGTCCCTAGACACCTAGGCAATAAGAATTTTATAAAATAAATAAACTAAATTTTGGTTAGTTCCATAGTTTTATTTTATATATCAATGAGAATGCATGTTAATTGAAAAAATAACAATACCCTTTATTAACATTAGGTTTCCTCTCAAAACATGAAAATTCATCATATCTAAAAGACAATAGCATTTTAAATACTTAAATTTCAATAGTTCCAAAAATAAATGTTTAATAGAACGATTACATATAAAAAATAGAGCAATTAAATATAATATTAGCAGCTAAAGAAGGCTATAAATTAATATGATAAAAATTTAAGATAGAAAGCGAAGAAAAAAGAACAAGAGTAGAGCCGTTGTTTTATTTAATGTAAGAGAGAGAGCGAGAAAAGAGTAGAAGAAATAAACGAAAAAGAAACCTCTCTACCCTTCTTTCTTTCCTTTTCCCTTCTCAAAACCCTTGGATAAGTAAAACTCTAAAACAAAGCATAAATGATATTTTATAGTATACAATAAAATGTATTAACAAACATATCAGAAAGATGTAACCATAATAATGATATAATAATAAGGTGGCTGCCTTGTTCTTTTAATAGCTTAGGTGGGTGCCTAATCACCTTGGTAATGCCCTGACAACTATCCTATGCCTTTACACCAAAAGTTTTGTCCCCCTCCACATTTCTTTTTAATCACTCTACCTCACTCATTTTTCTTTTCCTCACCTTAATATCCTCTTTCTAATAAAAAACTACAATAGGCCAATGGCCCAATAACAATATGTCCATAAATTAAATAAGAGATACAAGAAAGAAAAACAGTAACTAAAAATATTATCCCACTTCTACTACTTTTAACAATTATAATACTTAATCTAGACATCTTGAGTTCAAAATTCTAACGCCAAATAAAGATTAAAGAAGAGTTCAAAATTTTAAGTAAATAAATCATTGGGACTGGGAAAGGATAACACAACAGACAACTGATTTTTCTAAATGGCATGGAAGACGATAGTAGTAAAAGTCAAACATGCCAAAACCAAAGATCAATAGTATAAGTACAGGGTTTTCGAACTTTCAAGAAATGCTAGTGGAGTGCCATTCATTAAGAAGAAGGGGCAGTTCAGAGGGAACGATATGTTCCATTACAGAACAGTTGGGAATTTGATCAGATCTGGTAACAGCAATGCCACATGGATTCAGACAAGGGAGTCAGAATCAGAGTATCAGACATGTCAGGTTTGGCAAGATGAAAAATACCAACTCAGTGAAACGTTTAACATGGACACTCATTTGGAGAGTCCACGTAGCACTGACTCGAATGGCATCTGGTAGTAGAAAGTTTGCCTTTGCTAATCTGGGTGTGTTTAAGGCTATATTGGACAGCACAGTGTAGATGCATAAGATAGTGGCTTTGAGGTGTAATCCTCAGATACTGTGTGTTGACACAAATTTCGTGTATAAATCCGAATACAAGAAAAATGAAGACAAATTCAAATAAATTGATTTTTTTATATCTGAAATAAATGGGATACAAACTCTTTGGATTTGAAACTCTCTTACAAAAGAGATAGAACCTTATTGATCGAAAAAAAAAGAGATAGAACCTCTGGTTCTCTCGACAGTGCTTCTCATAACTTGAAGATTTGGATTTGAGTTGAAGTCGAGGGTCAGATGACGTGCTCCCGTACTTCAAACAGTGATGGAGATTGCTTCCTTCAATTGGGCTTTGAAAGCTTGATCAAGAAAAGGATTCTGCAAGACTTCAAGAGTGTTGTTGCTTTGCTCTCAAGAAGATGGTGTATGTGCTTCCTTCTTCCCAAGAGCTTTCTAACTTCACTTAGTTTCTTCTTGACTCCCAAAAGTCCCCTCCCTCTTGATGGGAACCCCTATTTATAGATTTCCTGGTCTAATCTCTTAATCCCCTTAATTAAGGATTTGATTAGCTCTCCTTACTCTTTTAAGAGAGTGAAAGGTTGTAATTACTACCATTCTTGGAGAGAATAATTTATCATCCATTATTCTCTCTTCAGTCATTGGATAATTTCCATCTATGGGAAAGTATGCCTTGATTGACTAAAGATTTGATTGGCTCTAGTTACCTTTCTTTATTTATTTTTTTTTTTTTGAAAACTGTAAAGTAAAGTGGATTCATTAAAAATCAACTAAAGAAACCCCCGTACAAAGAGAAATGAACAGAGTATATACAAAGAAACCAAAACAGCCCCATACAGCCCTCAATCCCCTAAACAAAAAAAAAACTACTCCCTCCTTACAAACAAAAAATTAGACTCAAAAAAAGCACTTGGATGTCTGTCTTTAAACAACGGGTGTACAGTCAGCCATGAGTGGATCATCCCCATAATTTTCCTCAGAACATCTTCTTTTGATTTTTGAATTCCTTCAAATAATCTGTTATTTCTTTCACTCCACACAGCCCACAGAACAGCTGCAGGAATAATACTCCAAGTCACCTTTCCAGATTTACTCAGACCACTCATCCACCAAGCTTCCATGAGTCCCCTAACATCTTCCGGGAAACATAGCTTAGCACCAAATAGTTCCACCACTCTTAACCACATCAGATGACTAGATGATTCCACATTCCCAATACATAGGGGACATGCCATGTCTACCACTTCTAACCCTCTTTTGACTAAATTGTCCTTGGTTAGAATCTTATCCAGCACTGCTGACCAAACAAAAAAGGCTATCTTTGAAGGCACAGTTCTAACCCATAATCTCTGACTTGGGAAAGATATAGCTTCCTCTGAAACTGCTTTAAAAAACGCTTTTACAGAGAACATACCTGACTTCTCAAAACTCCACACTCATTTATCTTCCCCTATTCCCGATATGTTCGAGTCATACAGAAGCTGGAGCAATCTGATTAAGGATGCTACCTCCCAATCATTTAAATTTCTTCTGAACTGAGGGTTCCAAGAGCAATGACCATTCTGCCTTTCCAAACATTCAGCTACAGTTGCATTTTTGTTTGTGGTGTTTTTTTTTTGTGATAAATGAAGAATTTATTAGAGAAAGAAAATAGAAGCAACTTTTACAGGAGACACTTTGAGAGGCACAAGCTGCGACCTCTCCAACCCTACAAAAACTTAAAAAAGATTACAACTGAGCCCAATACGTTCCCTCGTTGCCCCTTGTTTGGCTAAACAGTCAGCCACAAACATTTTTGTTTGTGGTGATTTCAAACAGGTCCGGGAAAACACTTTTTAAGGGACCCTCTTCACACCAGTTATCCTTCCAAAAAAGAACCCTCCTACCATTTCCCACTTTGTATTTTATTTTATTTTTATCAGTAAAAATCTTTCATTAATAACAGAGACATTAAGATACAATAGCTAAAGATTGCATAGGAAATTGCAATCTCCAGCAATCAGTTACAATTCTGCCCAATACAATGAAGATCTATTTGCCCCTTGTTTTGCTAGGGTATCCGCCATCCCATTTRCATCCCTWTTRACCCAACCAAAYTRAGAGTTGAAYTTCCTTGCAAGTGTGTCAATTTCTCTGAAAATAAACTTGAGCTTCCAAGGTGCTGATGTGATGTTTTTGCCAAGAGATGACCAATGGAGAGTCTCCTTCAATTTCTAAGTCTGTTGTTCCTATCTACTCAGCCATCTTTAGACCTTGAAGTAGGGCTAAAGATTCAGCCTGTATTGAGTCACCATAACCTATTGGTCCAAAGTAGAGTGCCACCACCACACCCAGATAATTTCTAAACACACCCCCATGCCTGCCCTTCCAGGGTTGCTAAGAGAACTCCCATCGAAATTCAGTTTTAGTTTGCTCCGTGCTGGTGGCTTCCACTCCATGCTTACAAGAACTTTGGGTACATCTGTTTATGCTATTTCAGCCCAATTCCTTAGTATCTCATTCGTGGAGTAGTTTCTAAAAATCTCCATGGTCTTCACCCAATGTCTGCTTTTTCCTGAAAAGAATGTTGTTTGTTCATTAAAAGAATGTTGTTTGTTCTCTCCTAGGAAATTTTTATGGCTTCAATAACTTCTCTCCATTGTTTTGCTTTTTCCTGAAAAGATTCTTAGGTTTCTTTCCTCCCAAATAGTCCATACTGTAGCTGCTCTCACTGCCTTTCATATACATTTTCCCCTTTTCTTCCGCTGATACAGGAAAGAGGGGCTGAATAGATTTATCACATCCTGTGGGGGAGCCCATCTGCATCCAAAGAGAGAACAAACAACATTCCAAATACCAGAAGCAAAAGAGCAGGACAATAGCAAGTGGGTTAGAGTTTCACCGCATCCCAAACAAAGGACACACACATGAGGAGAGAGGCAATTGTTTGGCCTCCTTTTCTGTAGCACATCACAAGTGTTTACCTTCCCTAGGAACACTTCCCAACAAAAAGCTTGTACTTTTGGAGGGATCGGTTTAGTCCAAATTTCACTCACTGGGAAGTTCACCCCCATAGGGTTAATATGAGTGACCAAACCAAAGAAAGTAGCACAGGAAAATAAACCATCAGAAGTTGGGGACCACACTCTACAATCAGCTATAGATTGGTCCAAGTAGACCCTCTCAAGTGTTGAAATCAACAGCACTAGAGACTC